CCCTTCCTCCTTCGAAGGCGAGACGCTGTCCCCAAGCCCAGACCCATGACCACTTACAGCATGACCCCTTGAGCTCGTTCTGTCTCTGGCCTCCTTTGATTTAGTTTTTCTCCTTCATTCTAACATTTCTCTGTCCCCATCTACTTTCTCGAACATCTCCAACTTCAAAAACGTTTGATCTTGAGAACTTTTTCCTCTGATGTGATTACTACCCATTGCAAGCCTATATAAAAACACCACATGTACCCATAAATATATCTGCATACTATGTACCCATAAATATTAACAATTTAAAGGCCGGCCGCGGTGGTTCTCGCCTGTATTCCCAGTACTTTGGGAGGTCCAGGCAAGAAGATTGCTTGAGCCCAGGAGCTCAAGATTAGCCTGGGCAACATAATGAGATCTTGTCTCTACAAGTAATAATTTTTTAAAAATTAGCCTAACATGGTGGCGTGTGCCTGTAGTTTCAGCTGCCAAGGAGGCTGAGGTGGAAGGATAGCCTGAGCCCAAGAGATAGAGGTTGTGATAAGCCATGATTGTGTCACTGCACCCCAGCCTGGAGAACAGAGTGAGATCTCAACTCAAAAAAAAAAAGAGGAAGAAGAAACAAAGAAGGAAATGAAGAAGGAAAGGAAGGAGGGAAGAAAGGAGGGAAGGAAGGAAGGAAAAATTTAAAAAGTAAAGAATTTTTTAATTTACTCTTCTCAAAATTTTAAGTGAGAAATGACAATTGATTATTTCCATATTATTCATTTCTGCCTTTCCCTTTTATCTGAAGACTACAAATTATTGAGCTGAGTCTAAATCTTGACCTCGTAGCTGCCAAGAGATAGGGGAGTCCTGAACCCTTCCGCTGCTGCACTGGTCCTTTGTGTGAGTGAAACAACACTATCAGTTTGAGGGAGCATGAAGAGGGCAGAGCTACTAAAGTGGTATTACAAAACAATTGTGATCCCACATAAGCTATCCAAGTCGAGACAGAGATATCATTTAGCAAGTGTTTCTTGAGTGATCATTGTGCTAGGTACTATTATAAACCCTGCTGATAAAGTCACTTTCTTTGTTTTACTGGAGGTGGATAGACAATAAAGTTTAGATGGCAATTATGAAAGAATATATGAGATGGCAACTGTGCAGTGCACAGAAAGTTAATGCAATTCAGTCTGAAAGAGCAGAGAGTGAATGGAGAGGAGGGCACACATAAGGTAGTCTGAGGTCTCTCTGGGCAAGGGACATTCTAGTGAGACCTAAGTGACAGGAAGGAATTGCTAGTCCAAATATTCAGGGACAGGGAAGGGCTTACTATGCTCATAGAAGTGAAAGAAGGCCAGTGTGACTAGAATGCATGGGCAAGAGGGAATGACAGAAGACTGGAGAGGTGGCAATCAGGGTCACAGCCTGGGGCCACAAGTTAGATGTTTTTCTTCTTTCTTTCCTTCTTTCTTTCCTTCTTTCTTTCCTTCCTTCCTTCTTTCTTTCTTCCTTTCTTTCTCTTCTCTCTCTCTCTCTCTCTCTCTCTCTCTCTCTCCTTTCTTTTTGTAGTTAGGGTGTCACTCTGTAGCCCAGGCTGGAGTGCCGTGGCATGATAACATCTCACTGCTGCCTCCGCCTCCTGGGCTCAGGTGATCCTTCTTCCTCAGCCTCCTGAGTTGCTGGGACTACAGGCGTGTGCCACCACCCATGCTCGGCTTGTTTTTCTAATTTTTTTTATACAGACAAGGTCTTGCTATTTTGCCTAGGTTGTCTTGAACTCCTGGGCTCAAACTCTCCCACCTCAGCCTCCCAAACTGCTGGGATTACAGGCGTGAGCCACAGCACCCGGCCATGAAGTTAAATGTTTTTTTAAGTGGAATAATAGCAAAAGGATGCCACTGAAGCTTTAAAGCATGAGAGTGATGTGTAATTTACATTTTATAGGATCACACTGGCTGCTGGGTGGAGAAGGGTGCCAGTAGGAAGACAAGGAAAACACTTAGGACATTCTGCTGACAGCCTAGAGAAGCAGAGTGTCCTGGGACTTGGGTTCACAGAGGTGGAGGGAATGAGAAGTAGATTGTCTCAGAATAAGTTTTGCAGATTTTGTAATTTACAGTCTTTTCAGATGGATTGGATATAGATGATGAGGAAAAGAGAAATCCAGGAAAATGTCTAGAAATTTGGACTATAATTGAGAAAGATGGGGGAAGAAAAAGTTTGAGGGATAATTGATCAGATATTCAGGTCTTACACAATAGGTAGACCAATAATTCTTTTTTTTTTTAAAATACAGGGTTGTCACCTAGGGAGTGTAGTGACACAATCATAGCTCACCACAGCTTCTAACTCTTGGGCTCAGATGATCCTCCTGCCTCACCCTCCCGAATAGCTGGGACTACAGGTATGAGCCACCATATCCGGCTAACTTTTCTATTTTTTGTAGTGATCTTATTTTTTTGCCTAAGCTGGTCTCAAACTCCTGGCCTTAAGCAATCCTCCTATCTCGGCCTCCTGAAGTTCTGGTATTATAGGCATGAACCACTATACTCAGTGAACCAATAATTCTTAATTTAGAGATTCGCAAATACAAATATGTACCTTTGCTGAGCTCCAAGTTTTTTGGATAAATTTCTACCCCCATAATGAGTGCGTCATTGTCTTTTTTAGGGGTGGAGGAGTCATTGTTTCTTATCCAAGAGCATGCAGTAGATGTGCAGTAAATATTTGTTAAATTTTGCTGAATAGCAAATCAACCCTAATATGCACAAAATTTCTAGTTTAAATAGAAGAGTCCTAAGGACAGATGTATATTCATAATGAGGTTTGCATCTTTCCTGACATGAGATGCAGATTAGTTGGTCAGAAATAGCAAGAGTTTTTAAAGGGAAACTGACTTGGATATGAAACTCTGACACTTACTAGCTTGGCAATTGACATAATTATAGTTAAGCAATAAATATTTATTGAGTGTCAGCCATGCACCAAGCACTGACTTAGAGGCTATGAACAAAACAAAGTTTCTTCTTTAATACAACTCACATTCCTGAGGAAAACAGCAGATCATACACAAATGAATAAATATAACAGTAATAGGGACCATAAAGAAAAATAAAACAGGGTGTGAAGTAAAGAGAAAGAAAGAAAAACCTCTTTTATTTAAGGTGCTCTGGGATGACCTCTCTGATAAGATGATATTTGTCCAGGGATCTGAATGATGTGAAGGAGCCTCTCATTTGTTTGTTTTTGAGTTGAGTCTCACCCTATCACCCAGGCTGGAGTGCAGTGGCATGCTCACAGCCACCACAGCCTCAACCTGCTAACCTCAGGTGATCCTTCCACCTCAGTCTTCCAAGTAGCTAGAACTACAGGTGTGCACCACCACGCCCAGCTAATTTTTTGATTTATTGTAGTGACAAGGTATTGTCATGCTGGCCAGGCTGGCCTCGAATTCTGGGCTCAGGCAATCTTCTCACCTCAGCCTCCCTAAGTACTGGGATTACAGGAATGAACTACCACGCCCAGCCAGAACCTGTCACTTGAATGAATATCTGGGGAAGAACATACCAGACAGACCAGCTAGTACAAAGGGTCTGAGGAACAAGAGTGCTTAGGTGTGTTTGACAAGCACACCGGAGTGGCTGGAGAAAACAAAGAATGTGGAAAGTGCTGGAAGACAGGTGAGAAAAGTAGAACAGATCACACAGGGCCTGGTAGGCCCTGGCTAGGTCTTTGACTTCTTCACCAAAATGGAAAGTCATTTGAGGATGTTGGAGTGGAGAAATGACATGAGCTGATTTACTTTTGAAAAGTATCAGTTTGGCAGGACCTATAAAATTTGGAGTCTTCTATATGGTTTATATTTAAAGTCATGGGACTGAATAGTTTCCTAGGGAGAAACAGATATACAAGTAAAAAAGGGACCCTCAGATCCAGCCCTACAGCACACAGATTAATAAAAGTAAATAACATTCATTAGGTATTACTAGAAGCTCAAGCACTATCTGCTGCTTACAGATGTTAACTCCTTTAACTCTCACAGTAACTCTACGAGTTTATAGAATTTTATTCCATTTTAAGGATGTATTTAGAGGCCCAAAGAAGTTAGGTGACTGACCTGAGATCAGACAGCTAATATAGAGAGAGTAAAATTCAAACCCTGATAGCATTTGTTTGTTTGTTTGTTTGTTTGTTTGTTTGTTTGTTTTGAGTCCAGGTCTCACTCTGTTGCCTGGGCTGGAGTGCAGTGGCACGATCTTGGCTCGCTGCAGCCTTGAACTCCTAGGCTCAAGTGATCTTCCTGCCTCAGCCTCCCAAGTAGCTAGGATTACAGGCACATGCCACAATGTCTGCCTACTTTAAAAAAAAAAATTTTTTTTTTTTTTTGTAGAGATGACTTCTTGCTACGTTGCTTAGGTTGGTCTCAACCAATCCTCCTGCCTTGGTTTAAGTGTAAAACCTGGGATTACTGATGTGGGGCACCACACCCAGCCTAAACTCTGATGGTTTTTATTG